CTAGTTGGAAGGCAGACACCTAAAATCTAATTATAGGACAATATGGTAAGCACTGTAATTTAGCAATTTGTACAAAGTAGTATGAGAGCACAGAGGAGGAAGCAAATTATGTTTTCACCTGTTTCTGGTGAGATGAAAATGGAACTGTTATATGTGTGTGTTTTTTGTGAGGAGCAGAGGATGTGGATAAAGTTCACCTCTCTTGTGTTTCAGTTTTGCCTCAGTAATTTCTTGTTGCTGTCTTCCTCACTTCTCTCTGGGGCTGGGATGAAGATGCTGTGCTCTTTTCCATGTGAATTTGCTTAGCAGTTGGAATAATTCATTGCTGCTGGACCAGCAGTAGCAGCATTTCTTCCACATTCTTGGTTGAGTCACAGGAGAGAAGAGAGATGCTGTTCCCATGACGTCACCACTCCTCCCCAAACTCTCTGGAGATGTAGTAGGAAAACTCAGCTCCTGGGCGTTGACCACTTGAAATAGCCAAATGGAGAGGAATCACACTTGAAATACCATGTAAATGTGGCCGGAGTCTACGTGAAAAACTTTGTTTAGCGGAAAAATTACTTAGTTAAGAACAAACTCCAGTCTTTGTGGGCAAATATTCAATTTTAGACCCTCCTTTGCTTCCTTAATCAAGAGATAATAGAAATGAACCAACAATGAAGTAGGAGAGAAATCCACCCCCAGGTTGTTTCTCTTTAATTCTGGTCTTTATTTTTTTTTAAAGGAACTCTGATTTTTCTACTCAGATCTTTTCCTTCATCCTCCAGAATTCTTGAAAATAGGCTAATTGTGAGGAAAAATTTCACTGATCATTGATAAACACAAGAAATTGATAGCATGTATTCATATCCCATTTCTGCCACTGAACCGAGGATACTTGAATGAGTTAATTATGCTCACTGAGCTTTAGTTTCCTCACCTTAAATATTAGAATATTAATACTACTATTTACCTCAAAAGAGTATATTGAGAATTGAATGAAATAACACAAAGTCTGTATATGCCAAGAGCTTCTTAACTATCTTTTGTTTTCAACTCCATTATCCAAGCCTTGTTACATTTTCTTGTCTGTTTCCTTTGCCATTCCAATCACAATGGGAGCAAAAACCTGCTGAGAGATCATTCTAAGAGATTAGGACTTATTTTTTTAATATGGGGGATTGAACCCAGGGGGGGTCTACCATTGAACCCAGGGGGGCTCTACCAGGGATTGTTCTACATCCCCAGCCCTTTTTATTTTTTATTTAGAGTCAGGTTCTCACTAAGTTGCTGAGGGTCTTGTGAACTTTCCCAGACTGGCCTTGAACTTTGGATTTTCAGCCTTATCCTCCCAAGTTGCTGGGATTATAGGTGCCCAACACCATGCCTAGCAGGATTCACATGACTTTTGACTCCTTGTGAGACAGAAAGATGGACTACCCATAGGGCAGCCAGGAAGAGGGTCTCGGAGAAGCAAAGGAGGAAGAGAGAATTGGGGAATCAAACTCTGACCCCAGCTATTCCTAGTTACAAAGAGAGTTCCTTAACAGCCCCTAGACACTACCAACCCCCAAAGGTACTTCTTCTTGTGCCAATAGACCCCTCATCCCTACTCTTTTACTGAGTAAGTTTTAGAAATCACTTTTTTAAGATTTGCTGAAGAAGGCAAAATAGAGTTTATTGACTCCCTTTCTAAATCCTATATCCCACCAATCATTTATAGGCACAGATCAAGCCCATAGAAACCCCTAGACAACAGACACCTGTTGGCTTCCCTCTCTTGGGACCCCTTCTTCGTTGGAAGCTCTGCTTTCCATTACTCTAATAAATCCTGTTACTTTGCTCTCACCCTTGTGTATGTGGATTTCATTCTTCAAAGTTTCCAGACAAAGAACCTAACCATCCACCTCCCACCCCTGCTATACTTGATTAATGTATCATGGCTGACAGTTCACTTACAATTGCAGATTTCTGAGTGTTAAACCATGTAACTAACACACACACACACACACACACACACACACACACAGAGACACATATATATTTTTTGGTGTTTCCCCTCTGGGTTTTCTAAAAAGCTATGGCAAATTTTTGCAAATCCTGATCTGGGTTGGTCTGGTAAGTAATGGGTAAACCTCTCCTCAGGCCAGGGTGCTCTCACTCTCCAGAATGCCCCAGAGGCAACCACTGGCTGAGCTCCAGTTGAGCTCACAGTCATCTCAAAGTCCAGAAAGATGAAAACAGCAGAGGAATACAGATGTCTATAATTCATTAGCCTTTAATCCCACCACGAGCACCATAATGAAAATAAATCTGTCACCATTTAATGCTTTTCTTCCAGAATTTCCTATTGAATTAAGGCCTTACATAGCTCAGAGTCTGAATTGCCAAGTACACTGACTCATTTCTTCATTATGTAAGCCATTAATAGGTTACTGCTCAGGTCCTGGAATACCTGCTGTAGGCTAACAGCAAGGTGCCCAAATGACTCTCAGCTGTGCCCTTACACTTTCACTCACCTGGGCTCCCCAGAGAAACCACACTCAGCTCCTCACCATTAGCTCTGAGTCCTGCACTGAGGCCTCATTAGCATCCAAAAGCTCCTCCTCTCCTCTGCCTTCCTGGCAGCAACCTACCCAGGGGAGAAGGAAACTATGCAAGAGGCAGTATGCAATTACTGGGGAGAGAAACTTCTTGCAGAAAATGCAGATAGACTAGATCTGGATGTAGGGAAATATGAAGAGACACAGTGTGGGAAAGTGTCATCCGAGTGAACTCGAAAGCTGAGACAGACTCTCTGGCACCAAGTTGTATTTAAAGCAAACACCATACCGTGGAGAATGACCTTGGGGATCCTGGGAAATTAAGGAAGAGCAGCATGATTTACACAATGAGGCCAAAAGGAAAGCACATGCTTAAGGAATAGTAATATCTAAAAACTATCACCTCCAAAGAGACATCCTAAATACTATTTCTTTGATTTTTTTAGCTATGATCATGATCTATATGTACATATGTATGTATATATGTATATATATGTGTGTGTATACACACACATATGTGTATATATACTAGTTTGATTATAGTATATACATTCCCATTTTGTAATTATCTAGGAAAAAATATCATTCCAAAAAATCCATGGAAAGACTTAGGTTGTCAGCGTCTGTTCTTGACTATAGCTACTATGCATGGAGAAGCATTGGCTCAGTTGAGCTCTTTTCTTTTTCCCTTCTCTCTAAAGAGTTCATATCATCCAGCCTGATAAATGCAAACATGGGAATTCAATTGCTTCTGAAGATTACCTGTTCTCTGTAGGGTGGTAGTCCTCAGAGGAGTTCCAAGGCCTCAAAAACAAAGATATTATTATCTCCTAATCATTATAACCACTGGTGTGGGATTAGAGGTGCTATTGGGGGGATTGATGATGATGATTTAAATGGAGTTCCAATTTCCTTTCATGACCACTCAAAAGTTCATCAGAATATACTGTATTTTACATATATCAGTGCTAGGAAACATCCCGAGACTTCAAACTTTCGCTCATCTTCATCTTTACTTTAAACATGCTTTTATTTGCTTCATTTATAGTGTCCCATCAAGTAGGGCTAGGGGAAGTCCTTAATAATCACTTGGATTCCTTAATAACAGAGATACTTTTGTTTACCACACAAGAGTAAGGAATTTGACATATTGTGACATGTATTAATTTTACCAGGCATTAAAATAACATTGCCCCAAGAATTTAAGAGGACAATATGACAAATATATCAATGTCTAAAACTGAAGAGAGAAAAGGACCTAGGTGTTCAAGAGATTGTAATATTACTTCTAGTTGGAACAACCTCATGGAGTTGGTGGACATTTAAGGTGGACCCCATAGATAATCCAGTTTGGGCAGGTGAGGTTACTTCCTGCACAGATGTGCATCTTCATTAGTTTATGGGGTGATCTCTGTGGAGGCAGAATCTGATTTGTCTTTTTCATCTTTAATAATAAATGATTGAGTAGTTGAGACAACAATCTTGCCAGAAGCAGCAAAATAACCATTCTTTCTAGTGGGAAATATAAGTTGAGGTAAAACAGCCATAATATTCACCTACGTGTTAGAACATATAGCCTTGGAATGCTTTTAAGAGACCATGTTTACTTGACCTCTCTGTTAGCTTCCTAGACATAATTACTTCCATGCTATATTAAAGAGATGGTGAAAGAGTGAATGGATGACTTAAGGGGGTTGTCTGATTGAGCCTCCAATCATCCTTGGAGATGGAAATGTGACTACTTCATCCTGGAAGGAAGAGAAACCATCTCAGAAACCTAATTGGAGTTGGTCTACTTTTAAATCTCTGTCTTTCGGTTTTATTGTTTTTGATACACTGCTTTGCATTTAATTAGGAGAGGATATACTGAACTCGGAAATCACTATTGCATTAGTTTAGTGAGCCTGGAGAGATCCAGGAGTCAGGGACACCAGTTCCCTCTTCCCATCATCAGCTAAAACCCTGGGCCTACTTCTGCAACTGTGGAGATACTCTAATGCCTTCTTCTGCAACCCTAGCATCTCCTGTCACAGGTTTATCTGGAGGCCCCTGAGGAGCTCCATGGCTAGTGGGGGAGGTAGGATGCTTGAAAATACCTCATGCTGTGCAGCCCCCTTCACCAAGGATTTGCTGGGTAGTTGTAAGAACCTCAGAAGAGTGCACAGCAGTCAGCCACAGAAGGAGAGTTTCTCAGCAAGCATCTGCCATTGACCTTGACCTAATTCGTCCTGTTTTGGCTGACAGTTCCAAAGATAAAGGTTGAAGTACCTATTAGATTTGATGTGCCACATTCTCCTTCTGAAGCTGTTTGTTTTACTAGCTAGTAATTCAATTCTATTAAAAACCCAAGGTTTATTTTATAAGCATGACAACTAGCCATTATACGAGTAGTATTCCACAGGCCCTAAGCAGAACATGTAAAATGTCATTTCAAGTGCCAGTTTTTTTTTCTAATGCTTTTTTTTTTCTTTACAGAATTTTGAAAGCGGCTTAAATCTAATTGGCTCCCCCAGGATCTCAACTCCTGTTACATTTGTGGCATTTCTCTTCTCTGAGAGGCATCTGGAGAACTGAGCTGCTGCTGCTGGCTGGCATGCAGGGTAGGAGGATGCAGCAATTTTTTTTCCTTCCTTCCTTAGAAACTTTCAAATCTTGCCTCAACTCTTCTTGAGCTTTGAACACTTGATTTTTACTTTTTTTTTTTTGTAACAATGGGTACTACCTTTCCTATTACTGAATTTCCTATGAGTGAGAATGGCATCCACTACTGCGTCCGCCCATGGTAGCCAGCCTGCATCTCCTATGTGAGAAAAGGAAAAACAAAACACATAATAGTAGTCAGGGACAGAGCCACATAAATAATATTTACCAAACGTAGTTCTAATAAGCTAGCTTTATGCAAAGTTCATTCACAAAAAGTAAATACCTCTTTGGACAATGGAAGAGAATTATTTTTAATGGTCCAGAATCAGAAGTTCCTGTAGTCTAAACAACTATGAAGAGGCTGCCCAAACCTTTCCCTTCATCACAATGAGTTCATACTGTCTAAACCCTGCATGGTGAAGTGAATGAGAGGAGGGAAAGGATATTCCCTTGAGGCCAGGGATAAGGACAGGGGAGAGTGGAAGCAAACACATGAAAGAGGAGAGAGAGGGACTTTCCCTACCTCTTTCAAAATGTTTTAGTTGGATTCTTAATCTTAAGGATCTGAATTATGTTAACAGAAAAACAGACTGTTTGCAGTACATTATTAAAAAGGCTCTAGCTTCCGAGCCTCAGTCTTCCTCTATGCAGTTGAATCCTGGGAAGAAGGAATGATGCCCATTTAGGATGCCATGTACCTGGTTTGGACAAAGCAAGCCAGATGCAAAGGCTTGTTGAATATATTCCATCAGCTGCCTTTTGCTGTTGGGGTAAAAATAGCACAGGAAGCAATGGCAAGAAAGTTGTTCATCCTCTGGAAAATAAATCAAGTTTCTGTATTAGGAGAGCCTAATCTTAAATGTTCACTACCTCCTCCTCCTACCATAAGCTAGACTAGTGACAATAAAAGAATGGGCTTGAACTTTGTTTTGATTAAGTGCCCTTGATATTGTGTGAGTGTGAATGAATGAGTGTGTGTGTGTGTGTGTGTGTGTGTGTGTGTGTGTGTGTGTGTGTGATGGCCCAAGTGGGAATATCTGTTTAATTGCAATCTGGTTGTCTTGTTATTGGTTAGGCAGGACCTGCCCAAGCATAGAAAAACCTAATTTCAGGCTTAGCAGGCAATGAAGTTAATAATAAAACATGTTTATTGAATTAAAAAAACAGTAATATTTTTACTAATTCATTTAAAAATATTTCTCCAAGATTTTCTTCCCAAGGGAAAAATTTATATATCTGCCAAATGGGATAAGGGCCAGCCAGACTACATTTTGGTAAATATATTCATTTTGTTGTCCTAAGGGAGAAAGCACAGACTCAGGGAGTCCAGTTTTAATTTTGTGTGTGCCATTATAGAGTTGTACAACTGGGGGCGAGTCTTTGTCTCACTGGCTCTTGATTTTTCTCATGCATAAACAAAGAAAATTGGATTAAGTGATTTCTAAGATCCTTTCTACATCTAATTTTCTACAAAAAAAAAGTATAAACAGTAGAAGGAGATGCACAGAAATAGTTAGGAGAAGATGAGCGTGGAAACTCAGTGCATGAGGAAGGACTTACTGGGGAGAGAAGGGAGAGGAGCAGGATAGGTGTTCCCTCCCTATCTCCTCTCCTGCCTTTCTCGTGGCTCAGTATAACCCAGAAGTGTTCCCCCCCCCCCTCTCTCTCTCTCTCTCCTCTTTCATGTGATTGTGTCTTTAATCATCTCTCTCCACTTCCACTCACCTCTATTTTTACCTCTCTGAACAATGAATATAGTTAGGATTTGTCAGGAAGATGCAAGAATATTGATTAAATCTGAAAAAAATGATTTTTGAGTATGTTTTTGTTCTTTCGTTTCATTCTTTTAAATTTTAATTTGTTATATATGACAACAGAATGCATTACAGTTCACATTACACCTATAAAGCATAATTTTTCATATCTCTGGTTGTATAGAAAGTATGTTCACACCATTCGTGTCTTCATACATAGACTTAGGGTTATGATGCTTATCTCTTTCCACCCTCTTTTCTACCCCCATGCCCCTTCCCTTCCCCTCCCACCCCTTTACCTCATCTAGAGTTTAATGTCTAATCTTCCCATGCTCCCCCTTCCAACCCCACTATGAATCAGCCTCCTTATATCAGTTAAAAAATTTGGCATTTAGTTTTTTGAGATTGACTAACTTCACTTAGCATTATCTTCTCCAACTCCATATATTTACCTGCAAATGCCATGATTTTATTCTCTTTTATTGCTGTGTAATATTCCATTGTTTATATATACCACATTTTCTTTATCCACTCATCTACTGAAGGGCCTAGGATCTGTTACAGTTTCAAGTTTATTAAAAAGAAAACAATGAATTGTTTTTAGGCTTTGGATTGTATATTCACAATAAGGATAACTGGGATGATACTAACATGAATACGTAGTGTACCAGGAACCACTTTTAATGCTTTTGGAGTAATAACTTACCTAATAATGCTAACCTAACAACAATGCTATGAGGTTGACACTATAACCCTCACCATTATTCAGATAAGGATACCAAATCAGGAAGGCTAAGTAACTTACCCAAGTTTTATATCTTTTTTAGGGTAAAGTTGGGATTCAGTCATGAGCAGTCATTTTCTAATGTCACTGCTCTTACATACCTGGTATTACATATTTTATTCATGTTCATATCCGTATTAGAATAGGTATAGTGTCTGAGGGAAGTATACTTTGAATTTGTGTAGAATTGAATTAAAGAAACTCCCTCCTACTGGGAGACAACTGTCCATGGTTTCCTTTGACTCTGGTCTCTGGTGAACAGTCTTATGATGCCTTCCTAGGTGTGCAGTTAACATATAATTGACTTGTTATTTGAAAGTATCTACTTCCAGCCATCATGGTGGCACATGCCTATAATCTCAGCTACCTGGGAGGCTGAGGCAGGAAGACCACTTCAAGTTTGAGGCCAGTCAGGCAACTTAAGGGGACTCTGTCTCAAAATAAAAAAGGGCTGTGGTTGTGCCCCAGTGGTAGAGTTCCCTAGGGTTCTATTGGCAGATCTGTTAAAAGAAGGTGGGGGGCGGGAGAGAGAGAAAGGCAAAGTATCCACTTTTTTCAGTGGAAAACTCATGAATTCTTAGAAGTTTCAGTTTAATAAATTTAGACTAGTTTAAGAAAATCAGATTGAATTTCTTTGCATAGACTGAAACTAGTATTATTTAAACAGATGTGCTAATAAATTAATATAGGAATCAGGTGGCACTTGAAGAAATAGCTAGGAACACAAAGGGTCAATGAAAACACTATATTTGGTTATTAGAAAAAAATTCCTTAAGATTTTTATTTGCTTGAACTCAGTTGACTTCTTTTGAGATATATGAGGGTTTTTCACTTATTAACAACATTTGACACAGAAAAAAAAGGATCAATATGTTTACACTCTAAGTTCAATATTTCTACCTTATATATGGTATTAGTACTGAGAGAAAGAAATAAGAGAGCTAATTCTTTTTCTGTTCGTTGCTTCGGAATAAAGATAATACCTTCTTGATGGGATATCCATATTAGAGAGCATAGGATGCCTTGTTTGTTCATTATAGCCACCAGTACCTCACCTATCAGCTGGTCATATTTCTAGCAGCTCTATCATCTGAAACATATATATGTGTTTACAAACACAGGGTATAGAAGATTACTATTGGAAAGGATCTTGGGATAATTTAACCCACATGCCTTACTGTGCAGATGCAGATGAAGTACAGCCCCAAGTCCTAGCCATGGATTAGGCAAAAGCCTACAAATAGGAAATAGTAATTACAAAATTTGCATGCTGTTTACTCTATTAATTCACTTTGTAAATGTTTTTTTGAGGAGCTGTTATGTATGAGACTTCAGGGAGAGAGCAGTCTTCCTTGGACTAGAGGCTGTGTTGTCAGCTCACACCAGTTTGTGTGTCAGGAGGCCACAGATGAGGAATGGCTGTGAAGTGTTTTTGGTGAATTCTTTGAAGATGACAGGGACTTGATCTTGTTCATTCCCCATGTCTCCCATCTCTCAAGGGATGAAGGTACTGACCACAGGTAGGAATTAAAGGAAGGACCATAGCTTAGCAATCTGAGATCCTTTCCAGTAGTAATTGACTGTGGGCAAATCTAGTGGATTTCAAAATATTCTAGGAGTTATCATTTTTTAATCTAGATAAAAATTAGTGCTAAGTCTAATTTCATGTTGATGACCACAAAAAAAAGTTTTTTTTCCCACCTACTGTTGTTATAGGGTAGTGGTTAATGATATAATATATTTTGAAAGCTTTCAAATATAAACAGTATTGGTGCCTAAAAGAGTGAGCTTAAGTTCTCTGGGATATTTATTCCAAAGTCATCAAAATTTATTGAACACCTGGTGTGTATAACAACTTATCTCTAGGCTGTAAATAGATAAGTTTGATGCTAGTAGAGGGGGAAATTGAGTGTCATTGTAAATAAACCTGATGTTTAGCCATTACTTTTACAACAAGGTTTTGTATACTGAGACACCTTTATTAAGGTGGATGTTTTGTAAGGGGTCATGGCAAATGTGAGCTAGCAAGTGAGGGGAGATAAATAACCTACATTAACATATGTAATCTTGATCACATAACAAGTCTGTAACTTCATTTGGGTCTGAGTGGTACTCAGTATTATCCTCATTTCATTCATGGAGAAAACTTGGAATCAAGAGGCAGTATGACTGACAAACAACTAGACCTGAATCTGTGGGATTTTTAAGCCTAGGGCTGGCCCATCCTACCTGATGCAAGTGTTATTTGATGCATTGACTGCTATTGTTAATTTATGCACACATGGATTCATTTATTTATGAATCCATCTACCAAACAAATATTTGAAAACCAATTTAATGCCACACTCTATAAGAAGAGGCAGATCTGAATTAATAGAAAATATGAATGATAGGATAATATAATACATAACAAAGGTAC